ACTCACTTTATGGAGAGTTGGTTGGAAACTGTCAAACTCTATCTCCAGCCACACAGGGATCTAGAGGGAAGTATGTTCTAGGAAAAGCCAAAGACCCTTAGGTGGCAAAGGGCTCTGGGCATACAACATATAGAAAGATGCCCGATATGGCTTAAGAGAAATGAATACGGAGATGAAAGGACAGAACACTGTAGAATTAGGCAGGGGCCAGATCGTAAGAGCCTTGTAACTACATTTACAAGCTAGTTGCTGTGTGGAGAATGGATTGCAGGGCGCAAGCATGGCAGTAAGGAGGTTGTTAGGTGAGAAAATGGGTGACCATATAATTTGTCATCCAAACCAGGATACTTGTGCAAGTGAACCGGGATGCTACAAACAATTAATCAGAGACAACAGGCAAAACCAGGACTTGCCATTGACTGAGCTCTAGCTCCTGTCCACATTCCCAGCCAGGACTATCACAGGAAGTTCAGCAGTTTTTAGCAGCTCCAGGCTGGGAGGGGAAAAATGAAAAGAAGGAATCACTTTTCTATTTGGTCCAGGCCCCATGCCTGAGCATTTGGTTTTTGTCTCAATGCATGGGCTAGTTACAGCACATGCAGGGAGCGGCTAGCCTTTTTCTCTGTGCTATCTGGTGCAGGGGCTGCCCATTCTCAGTGACAACCAATAGTATACAGTTGAAAAAGCAAAGAGGGAGTATGTTGCCACCTCTTTGTGAGGTTGTGTTGAGGGGGTGCAAGCCACAGAGACATGAAGAAGTTCTGAGTTCCAGAGCAGGAAATCTTAACTTGGACCTGGGGTGGGGGTGGGGTGTCTGTGAGCAGGTGATGGGGCCCCCAAGCTTTCATCATTTTCAAACCTAAGACTTCAAAAGAGTCAACCTTTGCTTTAGAGAGCAGTGGTTCTCATACATCAATGTGCATCAGAATCACCTGGAGGGCCTGTTACACTGAGCATTGCTGGGCTCTAGGCAGGTTCTGATTCTGTTCAGTCTGGAGTGAGGCCCAAGAATTTCTAATAATTTCCAAAGGGATGCTAACGCTCTTAGTCCTGGGGTCACACTTTGAAAATCACTGTTAGAGGATACAAAAAACACGAGGGGTTCCAGTTTAAATTATGATATTCCTTTTTCGGGCAAGAGTTCTAACAAATGCCACAGCCCTATAAACCACCCCTCAGTCCCAAGGAATTTCATATTTTATTTTTGGAAGAAGCCCCTGGAGAATGACAGACTCTGGACCTCCCCTTGGAGGCCAGGAAGCATCTGGGAAATAGCATTTTAGAGGACACAGGAAAATGCCTTCAGAAACGTAAAAGCCTAGGCAAAACTCTGAGCTGGAAACTACAGAGTTGGTCCTGGCAGATCCGGGTAGACACAGATCTCCTCGACGCAGTGATGGCGAACCTTTTGAGCTCGGCGTGTCAGCATTTTGAAAAACCCTAACTTAACTCTGGTGCTGTGTCACATACAGAAATTTTTTGATATTTGCAACCATAGTAAAACAAAGACTTATATTTTTGATATTTACTTTATATATTTAAATGCCATTTAACAAAGAAAAATCAACCAAAAAAATGAGTTCACGTGTCACCTCTGACACGCGTGTCATAGGTTCGCCATCACTGTCCTAGAGACTGCCTCCTGATCCTTTTTGAGCCTCTAGTCTAACTAAACATAAATGGGTTAAGATAGGAGGTCTGTTGTAAGAAAGATAGGGTGTCTGCTGAGGGCGCAGGGGGAGGTGGTATAATCTGGGAACAATAAAGAAATCAACAACTCCACTAGACAGAATTCAAGAGCTTCATTCACACAGCCCTTTGATCAGGTCATTGTGGTGAGGGCGGGAAGAGGCAGGAATAGTACTCAGGGCGGTGCTTACTTTAAGCAAAAGCAGTGGAGAGAGGCCTGGAAGGGCCATTTGCCAGCTTTCTTCAGACCTGCTCTAAGTCATTCCCTCATGAAAGGGTAGGGGAAAAATGAAAATGGAGATTCATTCATGAATCAACTTTCAAAACAGCAATTGTGGCTTTTGAGCTATACAGAGAAATCCTCGTTTGCTACAGAGAACACTGGCTTTGCCATCCAGCTAACTACAGCCTGAGGTGAGGCAACATCAAAGTCAGGGAGACCCTACAAGTTAGGGAAAGAGGAGACAGAACCTCACAGGGAAGGCAATGCACTAGAGCTGTGGTCGGCAAACCGCGTGCGGGCGCGCACGTACAGTGCGATTGAAACTTCGTGGCCCATGCGCAGAAGTCAGTATTTTGTGGAAGAGCCACACTCAAGGGGCCAAAGAGCCGCATGTGGCTCGCGAGCCGCGGTTTGCCGAGCCACAGTTTGCCGACCACTGCATGGGATATGCTTTGGCATCAGCCTGCTGGAACTGGTCACTTGAATTCTAACTACACGACCCTGGGCATGTTAATTTCTCTGTACCTTAGTTTCCTCTTCTGTATGATGGGGATATTAATAGTGCCTATCTCACAGGATTGTACTAAGAATTAAAAGAAATAACCCAGACAAAACACTTAGCTTGGTGCCTTCCATATTTTAAGCACTCAACACTAGTTTTAAAAAATGTGGTGGGTTTGGAAAAATTTAGGATAGTAACAGTACAGACTCACTCTGGTGTCACAGCCAGAGATAGAGAAAGCAGAGCTAGGTTGGAGCTACTGCCAATCTCCCCAGGAGGCTGACAAACTCCTGCTCCCCGGGGAAGGTCTGAGGTATGAGTTGGGCGTGTAGGGTTAGTCAGAATTCTTAGGGGTTAACTGGACAGCTCTGCAGGGTGTAATGTGGGGATATCCTGCTCTTTAAACATGACAACATTCAGTGAGTGTTTTGTGACTTTTCCCACTGCCAACCTAAGTGCCAAATGGCCTGATTTAAAAAAATCAAGATGAATGAAAATCAATGTTGGTAGGGATGACGTTATTGGAAATGCTGTGGAGATTTGCAATATTAAGGTAGAATCCCCGTTTTCAAGGGAAAAAACTGACTCCTCCCCCTCAAGTTCTAGAAGTATGGGGGATAATGCTGAGGTGAAAGCAGTGGTGACGTGTGCTGGCCTTGGGGTTAGGAAGCAAAGCTGAAAAAGAGGTCTCTTTACTCTGATCCTGAATGAACAGAACTGCGCCCAAAACCCAGTTCTCCAAATCAAAAAGTCCTGTCTTCTTAGAAAAAAGTTGTTACTGGAAGTAGAAACAAAGAGATTTCCAAAACCATGCAAAAGAGCCAAAGTAAATGACATACCACAAGCTTAAATAAAAGTTAACCATGGGAGGTGGGGGTGGGCAGAGATGGTCAATTACATCACTAGAAAAGAAACAGTTCTATTGAACATGGTGGGCTCCTTATTTGGGGTTCCTGTGGCCCTACAAGCCTGGCTCTGTAGTTAAAACCTATTTCAAATCTGGGACATTACCCTGCAGCCCTGTATTTGGCGTCTTTAAAGATTAAGGCCACAGGACAGTTAGGAAGGGGCCTGGCCTCTGGCTTTTTACTTCCTATACTTACTGCAAATCATGGCTAGAGTTTCTACCACAAGCTCCTGTGCCTGAAAAGCCCTCCTCTCGGACAGAGACCCAGGAGTTGGTCTGACCTCCCTTGAGGAGAAAGAGGAATCTAGTCTCCTTAAGAAGTACCCACTGTCCTCTGTGTGCCCCCCCAAATCAGAGGCATGATGTTTCTATCTCTCTCTCCCTCTCCCTTCTTCTCTGAAATCAATAAAAACACATTTTTTTTAAAAAGAAACATAATGATGAGAATCATTGATAGGCTGCACGCCCTCTACTAAGGGTCAAGCCTGCAACTCACCGTGACCTCCTGGTTCATAGGTCAACACTCAACCACTGAGTCATAACGGCCATTTGAAAACCTCCCCTACCTCCCCAAAACAGTATTAAACGTTAAGTTTTTATATGGTAAAGTCTCTGCATTATTTTCTATTGGATTTAGTGGTTATCAGAAGTAGAAGCTAGTTCAATAGCTAGTCTGCTGTTCTTTACAAAGAAGGGACATTTTAGCAGAAATAAACAAAACAATAACGACAACAGTTTCTTAGGATTCACCCAGGGAAGCCTGGAACTGCGATACTATGAACTTGAAATACTTCAATGGCCATGCATTTTTAGAATATAATCACTGTCATACACATTTAAATAAGATTGTATTTTTCCATAGTGTAATTTCTGCAAGAACCCTGTTCCTGCAATCACTTGTTTCAAACCTTCCTACACCCAGCCTGAAGGTAACTGAAAACACCAGGAAAGATAAGATGAGGAGAATGCCACAAATAAAACTTCTAACTCCATTTCTAAAGGTCAAGGAAATGTCATCTCCCTGGGCTTCCACTGATTTTTGAGTTAGGGGCAAAAACTGGGATGGTTCTTCTTGGTCAGATAATCTAATCTTCAATGAGAAGGTCCCATTAAAATTATTCTGAAGGATAACTCCTGTGCCACATTTTTATTGGTAAGTTTATTCATTGTCCACCACTCCACTTACTAGAAAAGCAGTTTTAAAAGATCTGATTTTCAAGCATTTCTATTATTTCAGAATATTCTCTTCATCTTTTTGTCATATACTCTTTTGTAACCCTTCTACTACCCCAAACCAAATCCAAATGTAAAACAACAGAAAACAAAAACCTTCCATGGGAGAGGCATGATATAGGGGAAAGTTTTTCTTTCTCTTCAGAAAATTTTCAAAATGGACTCAAGAAGCAAGATAGGGATGCCATTCGTGCTGTCATCAATAAAAAAACAACCAAAAAACCACAAACCCAATTTGTTTTAAAAAATCGTTTTCCAGTGTGAGAGTACACTTAATGCTGCAGCCAATTAATGACCAGGCAAGTATACCTGTCACTGGGTGCTAAAAATGGTTTCCATCTATCAAATATTAAAAAAAAAGAATACCCAGGAGCAACCAGACCCTCCCCAAAGGCACTGAAACAAAAGACTGATCTGTTTATATAGTCACATGAAAAATAAACATCTTTATTTTTTGCCTACTTTATTTCATTTTTTTCAAATAAAATTTAAATCTGTACAAAGTATACTGTTACAGTATATATTTTGTAAGAATCAATGCCTAAAAGAATCACAATACTTCAATAAGCAGTACAGCAGACCTCGCTAGTTTCAGCTTTGATATTGAACAAACTCAAGCCGGCTGATGCACAACACATTTGCTTGGTTTCCACATGGTGAGTTCCCAGCACTGAGATGGGAGAACATGACAGCAAGTATGGTTTATATTACAGCCTGACACACAGTGCTTCTTCATATGATAACTACACATATTTAATACAGAATGCTCAAATTTACTTTTTAAATTGCATTTGCTTACTTCTTAGTTGGCAAATTTCAGCATTCTTAATGGGGTCCCCAAACAGTGCAAATTAATGATATTCTACTATGTAATTGGCACATCTCCAATAAGGATTAACTTGTAAACTCAAAGAATATCACAACTTTGTCCTAAAATTTAACTGATACACATCTGGTCCATTTAACCAAAGTCATTTTGGAAAGATATTAAAGAACAATTCTATTTCTGAAAGGATATCACTTTGACCATTCTTTAGAGAAGATAAATTTTTAAATTGTCATTAAAATGCTTTACTATAAAAATTTTACAAACTTGATTAGAAATTTCAAGATGATTCACAGCAGACAAAAACAAACTGTTTATATTCCAACAATACCTACTTTTAGACTTTCAAACAGAGCACAACCATGTCAGCTGTGTTAACTAAAATTCTGAACAATGTACTAAATTTATAAGTGGTGCTGGGTCTAGCAAGTGTAAATACATAGTATATTTTACTGAAAAGAATTGTCTTCTTTATACTTTATTTGTTTTCCCATAAGGAAACATTAATGTTTACATTCTTTAATAAAGTTAATCTTACATCAGAATATAACTTAATACTGTCAGCAACAAGAACCACACACAGTAAATAAGAAGCACATTTAAAATAAGTCTGAATTCACATAGATTAACATTTGTTGGTTAATAAAATATCGACAGTATTACAATCTTACAATATTTACAGTAAGAAAAATCTAGAGTAATATATACCTTTCACAGCAGGATTCCTTTTTTTTTTTTTTAATTTCTTCCAGTTTGGGATTGTGTATACACAAAAAGCTCAAATAAAGCAACTCTGTAATATAATCTTAAAATAATGGCTACTGGGGGAAATTCTATCACAACCATTGAAAATAATGGTGACTTTTCACGGAGTCTGTGGCATCTGAGAATCCAGTTAATTAACCAAAGTCTTGCTCAAACCAGCCTCAGTTACCTAGATTAAAGCTGCAGAACTCCGGCCTTCCCTGACTACTGAAAACCCAACAGATTTTCTCAAAATGCTATAAGAAAAGAGGGAAAATAGGTTTTAGGTCACACCTCATGGATAGAAGCCTCTGGCCAGTGCACACTCCCCAACTTATATTAAAAGAGGGCCAATTTTATCGCCGAAGTATTACAAGAGTTTACCCTCCAGGTACAGGGCACTCTGACACTGCGCTCAATCAATCCTTAACTCTTGTACAATTGGGATAAGACAAGAACTTGGCCCATATATTACACACCAGCATCTTAAGAGACTTGGGACTGGGGCAAAGAAACAGACTAGGTTGGTTTGCATTGAGACCAACAGGGAAAATGGAAAGCAATGCATATTTCCAATTAGAATGGCAAGAAGACCCACATCCCTAAACTGGAATTTTGCCAGGGCATCAGAGTTAGCACCCCCTCTCTGAGTGCCACAAGCTATTAGAATGTGTGCTCTGGGCCTCCTCAAAGAGAGAGCAACTACAGTAAGTAACACCATGTGGGACATTATTTCAGTGATGACTCCCAAGAAAGCAGTTACAATTCTTGAAGCTGGGGCTGTCCACAGCACCTGAGAACACTCATCTGAGCTGTGACTTGTCCCAACCCTGCTTACTTTAAGACATCTGATGGGCACAGAGCACTCAGGGATACAGCTGCTGGCTACTTTGGACTCTAGATCTTACAGGTAATCAACAGGTATCTGAGATTGAATTAGCAAACTGTACCATAGCTCCTTAAACAGACATAGTCAGGTTTGAAATCAGGTGAAGTATGAATCTTCACTGTCAGGTCAGAAATCAAAGTGGGAATCTCCCCACATCAGCCAAGGTTATTTTGTCAAAACCTTAGGAGTTGGACAGTTTTTCATGTTGCAAGTGATTAGTTTACTTATTTCAGTCAAGCTGGATTGGCAAACCAGACTGATCTATTTAGTTAGCTTTGATTTATTGATTCTTAATGTATGTGTAAACCCAAAACTGTTGTATTTGGGTTAAATACACTGACAGAGAAAATTCAAACAACAAAAGTTTTCAGCAAACTTCTGTGGCATTTTCTTTTTGTAAGTCAATGCAAGATCTAAAGGTATTTCTACCCAACAAAATCTGTTTAAGTGTTTAATGTTATTTCCTTTTTGGTCCTATACAGAATGCTATGACTTCTATATAGGTCTGAATGCTGCTCCATGTAGATTCCTTCTGTATATCTAAAAATATATACTTCTCAGTAGTTCAATACATGGTTAATCTTCCCACAGAGGAAGATTTTTGTAATCACATGTTGCAAAGTAGAAAAACATCTCCTTTCTAAGAAAGGAAATATACTTTCCTATTGTACACTTTTGAATAAGCCCAAAGGCATGCACCAAAAATCATTATTAAAACTAATACATGCACTAAAATGGTGTAGAGTTAGACTTAAAGTGCTGCTTCTCAATTTTTAAATTTGGAGAAGACATCTTGTCAGTTGTTGACTCAAAGATCTCCACCCCGCCACCCACCCCATTTCATGGCATCAAGAGAGAAATGTAAAAAGTATGCATAAATCTTTAAACTAGTCTTTACATGGGGGAAAGGACAGATATATCAACTATCCTATTTATAAACTGGATTCCAAGTTTTAAATAAAACCAATATTTACTGGTAAAAATTGTCAAAGTGAATACATCCAAAGAAATGTTACTAATAAATAATGTTCTACACAGAGAATAATTTACTTTGGTTTTATGCACCTTCTCAAAAATAATACTGGTGTCCCACATATCACCAAACTGATGTGTTCCAGCAAAGTTGTAAGGCAAATCTTTTTTTCCTAGTGACATCTTGTTTCCCAATAGACAAAACTAAAATCTTTTGGTGAGGAAGGGGTTAAGATAATGGCTAACCCCTTGGCATCCTGAGCATTGTGGTTTATCAAACTCTACCCTGCTAGAAGCTATCAGGCACTCTGACCCCTGCCTTGAACCAGAAATGGCTCCCATGTCTAGAGATGCCCTGACTCCTTATAAATAGCTCTCAAAACTTTGCTTTCTTCCTTCTGTCTGGATGTTGTAATATCTAACAAAGCTGGTTACAATGTCATATTTCGCTAATCGGGGCCACCATCTAACAGTAATTCCAGAAATGTTTTAAGCCAATAGCTAGTTATTAATTTTATCAACTGAATTAAAATGTTCTTTATAGAGTTATCTAGAGCCGAGATCTTTTAACTTGGGTTTCAGAAGATATGTGATGCACCTGAGGTTATTTGCAAAATTACCTATGTGCATTTTTTTCTGGGGAGAGGGTCCATCACTTTCATCAGATTATCAAAGGAATCTGTAACCCCAAAAAGGGGTTATAGGTACTTAGAGGGATACCCGTAATTCATCTTATATCAGGATTGGGAAATGGGGGCAGAAAACTAAAGAGCCTAAAGGGCAGGGGGCAAATTGCTGATCTTTTCCTTTTATTCACATTTGCAAAAAATAGTGCTTCAAACTAGGAAAAATAATTAATTAAGCTGATTAAACTCCATAAAAATAATCAAAGCCACTTTCTAAAATATTTTTCATTTTCCATATAGGGTAAATTTAGTCTCTAAGAAAAAGTTTGGAGACTGAATTTTTCTCTTTTCCCAAAGGAAATTCATAGATATAATGCTGATCATCATCCACAGTTAAAGATTTGACAACGTAAAACTTAAGAGAACTCTAATGATGCAAGCCTTATAGTTTTGAGTAAAGGATTATTTGGAGTCAGATACACATTTGTCAACCTTAGTGTCCCCAAATTGGTCCATATTTAGACAACTACCAGGCACAATTCCACTACAAAAGCCTAAAATCTGAACAATGGAAATTTAACTTTCTACTCAAATTAAAAACAAAGCTACAAGGCTCCAGCCACAAACGTTCACACTATGTCATAGAGGACTTTCTCTTTTCAAACACATCACTGAATTCTCAACACAATTTGCAAACAGTAAGATCCAGAATGACTAGCAAGACATGCCGAGAAGAGGATGTCAAGAATTAAAACATTACTCCCAGCTCCCCCCAATCCAGAAACACACTCTGGCATTCCAAAAATAAATCAGATCTGAAGAGAGGCCTCTTACTTGTTGGTTTTAAGTATGAATTGCCTAAAAGGCTATGGGAAAGGGAATATAAAATGAAATAATTAAACAACTTACAAAAATAATTTTAGCCAAAACACATTTTCACACTATTGACAAAACTATCAACCTTTTTTTTTTCCTTCAATTCTGAACCTACCTGTGTTGCACAATTTCACTAAGACAAAATATATGTTCACAGGTATACTTTTTGTTCTCCTATTCTTTCTAGAGCACATCTTTACATTATAAGAATGCCTCTAGTTAAAATAAAGTCTCTTATCCCTTGCCACGCCCCCCCTCAAAAAGTGAGTCAACTTTGAATTCCAAAAAGGAATATTCATTTAATATAATTATTCAATACCACTTATATCACATTAACCATGAGAAAACTCTATGAGCATTATGGAAAACTACATGAAAGAGGGAGCTGCCACTTGCCACCCACTTCACTTCCAGATTTTTAAGCCAATACCCAGCTAGACTCAGATCTCATTGATTTCAGTGAATACAAATCACTCCAAAACCAAGCCATCTCAGGCTGGAAGTCGGATCTCAAATACATCATTTTATTTATATTTATATATATATATATATATATTTCTATCCTAAGCTTTCACTTTGTCTATTCAAATAGTTTAATAAAGCTCACATTTACAAAGGATTTTATTGGCAAATAAAGGTCCATATTAAAAATTTCATCAAAACAATTTTTTTCACATAGCTAACACTAAGAAATGTTTTTTCAGATTTACAAAGCATATTTAATTGCATATAAGCGTGCTTTGGGTGGGATATTAAAAACATAACTCTGTAAGAAATTAGAAAAGACTAGAAACAAAAGTGAAAGTGACTAGTCTTAACTTCCAAAAAATCAAGTGCAAAGGTAAATAGTGCAAATAATGAAAACTAGAAAATTTATAGGCAATTTTACATAGTTTTACCCGCTTTTGCACTTTTACATATTGACAACTTTATAAACCCTAACAACAATGCAGCATGGAAATGGGCTATCATTTATCTCCATTGACTAGACTCAAGGAAGCCTTTCAAAGACATTTAAATCACTGGTTCTTGACACAGGTTTGGGAATTCACTTCTTTTTCAACATTCCTAAGGGTAGGAGCTATTAAAGAAGGCTCTGGACTGACTTGTAACTGTATTATAATTTCAAATCTGACACACAATGAATTGTGAAAATCAAACTCAATTCTACAAAATAAGTAATAAAAACAATTCTGCTATTGTTAATGAATTTAACAAAAAACTACCTTCCAAATACAAAATCAACACCTTTCTTTTAGCTATCTTTAAACAGATTTTATCACATATACAGATTTGGGTAAAATGAAACTTGAAAATAATCTGTCAAAATCACTGAGAGTAAGTACATACTAAACTAAAAAACAAGAGTTAATCCAAATATACTTGAATTAGGTAACTTTAAAAGTAAGTATTATAGCAATTCTTTATCTTATATAATTTAAAACACTTCTGGGATATTGGGAACAGAAATCTAAACATGATCAATTCACTCTACAAAGGGCATAAGAACTTCCAAGATGTACTAAATTATATTATTAACATCTTCCACCACTGAACTCTTGGGAGTTCTACAATTTTAAAGTAACAGAAAAAGTGGGAAAACAAACAAACTTGAGTTTGGGGGGGGGTGGTATGTTGTCTGATTTCATAAATATAGTATTCTGAGGGTCTCATAAGGTTCACAATGTTAAAATGGTTGTTAGGATTGCAAATGTAGAAGAAATAGAAAAGATGCCTAATATTGCAATTTAGTGTTTTTATCTGGTTTATGGTTGTCTTCTAAGAAATGTATGTGGACCAAAGGCTCAAGATTCTGTAAATACAAGGTATAATATAGATCTTTGTAGACTGCAAAAAAGTCAAATGATTTTGATCTAAGGACCATTTTGAAAAGTAAAGGTAAGTTATCTTATAATATGAGCCCAGGAGAATAGAGAGTACATATGATATATATTCCTGATAGTTTATAAATTACTAGAGGCCTGGTCACGAATTCATGTACAGGTGGGGTCTGGCCGGCCCGCCCAATCAGGGCTGATTGGGCCAGGTGGGGGAGGAGATGCGGGAGATTGGCTGGCCAGACCCGTTCCTGATCCATCGGGGTGGGGGTGGGGCCGGCAGGGGGAGGGGCTGCAGGCGGTTGGCCGGCCAGCCGGCCAGCCCCGCCCCCTGGTCGAACTCCTGGTTGAGGGACAATTTGCATATTAGCCTTTTATTACATAGGATAACTGAAAAAGTTCTTAATAAGTCTGCGGGACCAACTTGCCTTGACCAGAAAAGTTGCCATTCCACAATTGTTCTACGTAATTTGTCCAGAAAAGCAAAAATCCTACATCTAAAAACATATCTGTAGAATGCATCATCATTACAACATCTAGCTACAGACCAACAACTTCCCCATAACCAACAAGGGACCCATTTTCTCTGGCAATTGACATTTCCTTAGCAAAGATCAACTTCATTGTCCTTAGTAAAAAACTCTCATTTAAGACTCCACCTTAGTATCTTTTCCTACCTCTAATAAAAATCCTCCCACTTTACCTCCAAACCATTCCGATATACCTATCACACTCACACAAGCACATCAAACAACTCTCTCCTTTCTGCTCTCAGATTTCCAAAGCAGTAAGTCTCAGCCCCAGTAACTTACCTAAAATACACATACTTCTTACTCTCTTCAATTCACAAATTTCTTAATTCACAAATTCTTAACAATTTTGATGTCCTTCAAATTACCAACTAAGACTATGGGGAAAACAGCAGTCAGAAAAACTGCCCAATTACCTCATAACACAAAAATTTTCCTGGGGTCAATTAGCTATGTTCTAAGACAGGAGTCAGCAATTTATTTACTTCCTTCTCAATGGGGTAAGCTTGAATGCCACTGGCAAGCCTATGGCAAAAAGAATAAAGGAGAGACAAACAAGGGAAAACGAAGATGGGTGAAAGAAAATGCCAGATGTGTAAGGCAGGGAGGTAGGTGAAATGCCACCAACAAACTACCTGAACTGGAAACCGTCAAATCCACTCCAGCTGAATGCGAGTTTGACCCACTCCCAACACGTGACTAATAATTCATTAGCTGATTGCCATCATTGTTTGACTAAGTCAAGGTGAATACATAAGTCACCTATCTCATTACGTTGACTGCCAGTTTACAATAAGGACATCTTTTCTTAAGTCCTCTTAGGATCCTTCTACATTAATCCAGGTTAGACCAAAACACATGCTAACAAGAATATTTCCATGTTTCTTAAGATTTTAGAACATAAAGGTTTGGTCCTTGAACTTGGAGGCCTTTTGAATTATTAAAGTGCATCCTAAATCAAGAAAATTAAAGTCTTTAGCTTAAAATTTTCCCATGAAATGCTACAAAAATTTAATAAGCAAATTACTAATAATCATTGAAACAAAGTATGCATTCATAAAAACGCTAAAATCTTGCAATTCCAAAATTGAGTAAAATATTTCTGGTCTGTAAGAGTAATTTTATTTTACATAGAGTATCACCACCATGTTTCCACCTTTCAAACAAGACAATTTTCCACAAAAGCAAAGCACATCAGGAAAAAGAAAATGAATACCAAACGTAACATGGAGACAAAATAAATGAGTAGCTATGAAATTCTCTTTAAGAAAAATATTTTTAACACATAACTTTTGCCACACTCAAACTTTCCTAAAGGCATAAATTGCCCAGACCACTCAACATCAAAACTTGGTCGTCAGTTTAGCAGCTGAAAGATGACAAACTGTTGGCTTGAAACCAATCATCCTTCACTTTTCATCTGGTTGTTCTTGCATCTAGAAATTCTACCTGACTCATGCCACTGCTAGTTTAGATGATCTTCACTTAGCCCATGATAATTAATGTTCAAAAAGAGCCTGTTAAATGGCCTAGGCCTTGAATTTAGGTTAAGTTTTAGGATTAATAACTTCAAATATTAAAATCAGCTGTTTTAAAAAACACATTGTAAATTCCCTATAGTAACTAATGCTGCTGGATGAAAACAGTAATTTTAATAGCAGTGGTCACTTTAGTTTTATAGTGTACTTCATTATGAATGGCCTATATTCAGTTAAGTTGCAACGGAAAATACCCCCAGAAATATTACAATGTCTGATTTAAAAATGGATAAACTTTAACAGACAACTTTGTACAAACAATTTTAGTTAATTTATTCACTTAAGCAATTCCAATAAATTCTCTTTCCTATTCATTCCACTCTCATGGGGAAGTACACATACCTCTAAATTATTAAGATATTCAAATTTAGGGAAAATCAACCATAAATGTTATACTCAGGATTATCACCAATTGTTCCAAACCAAGTTGCTAAAGATCCCCTGGTTTTAGCATCCTTTTACTTAGAAAGCAGGATCGCATTCTGATATTGAAAAGACTCTGAAAAGGGGAAAAAGTCATTAGATTTGATATCTCGTGTTTTATGGGGGGCAATCTTAAAAATATGTTCACATGTATAATAAAATGAATTGTGGAGCTATGAAAGCCACCAGAGCAACAATTTCAGAAATCCCCATTCTAAAATCATCTGGAATGTAAGTAATATTAAAAAATGAGTGGGAATATGAAGAAGAGAGGGTGAACATTCGAAGGAGATAAAAATAATCATGGCCATGATCCAGTCACCAATGGTCGGTAGATATCTCAAAATGTCATGAAAGAAAAATGTTTACAAAGTTTCAACAGTGCTAAATGCAAAATGTTAAAGCACAGAAACAGTAAATGAGATAACCCCCACAAACATCAATTTCCATTAAAAAAAAAAAAACAGGGACAAAAAATTGACATAGGCATCTTTTTAATATACCAAATTTTAACTGACTTAAAAGATTATGTAAAATGCTTGGGCCAGTGGTACCCACCCAGATTCTCATTATCAATGACCTTATCTTTTCCCCTCCCTTCCACCCAAATTTAGTTCAGTTTTCCTGCAGGAAGTACAGCATTCCTATATTAAGAAGAAATGAAAACAGTGAGTACAACTGATATAGATCCATTGACTTTTATTACAAATGTACTTGATCACTTGGCTTCAAAAAGTTTAAAATCAATACCCTATTTTCTGTATGCCAGTACAAAGCAAACTGTTTTACAAATTAAATACCTAAAATTTTGACAAAAATATTAAAATTTGATGAAAAACAATTATAAAAATCCTTAATATCTCTCTCTCTCTTCAAAAAAGGAGGCAGTCTTCCCAGTCCTATTATACAATATTAATAATATTAACCATTTTTAGAATAGGTAGCTAAATTATATTTTTCTGTTAGCATACAAAACTTAGACTAATAGATTTTATTTGTATATTCTCCAGTTAAGTTTGTGAATGCCATCTGATTGCAATATAATCAACTATCTTTAATTGAGTCCTAATTTACACTTGTTTAATAATTTGCATAGTTTCAAAGGGATAAGGTAATTCTACAACTAATTATCATAGGCTATTACAGTGCTATTTTCAAGGCAATAAGTATTTGCTCCCAAATAAAATTATCTGTCTTCTTTAGGCAGGGGTTAAAATTACTAGCAGCTTTCTCCATTACCTGAAAAATCAAATTGGAATAGTTATCCATCTCCAGATGTGAAGACCTAAAAAACACACTGATATATATTTTCCACTTTGAGTCAAATTTCAACCCCTGCATGGGACAACTAGAAAGTGAGACTTTCAAGGTTTTTTATTTTCCCTGTTGGTTTTGGTTTCTACTCTCCATGGCTTTTGAGAAGCTGGAAAAGTCTGTCTTTCCTAACTTGCATTGTTGTTTTTTCCATTTGGCAAATATTCATCTATCTCCAATCTGTATCTAGTGGAGGAAAAGCCAACATGGCTTTTCTTATAAACTTCCTTTGTTGTCAAAGGCATGTATAATGATTTCTACAGTTCTGGTTAGTTAACTTTAGCTCCCTCTGTGGCTGGATGACTGCTGCTTCTAACATCAGCATGACAAATAGGAGGCACAAATAAAAAGTAGCTTTAAAAAAGATTTGGTGATTTAAAAGAAAAAAAAACAAACAAACAACAACACCAAACACACACACATATATATGGGCATTTCAAATCTGGTGGCTGATCTCTAGATTAAATTACTTGACAGTGTCTCTCATTTTAAAGAACATCAATATTGCAATGCATTTCAAGTTTTCTTGTATACTTAGGCAAATAATAGTTTAACCAAACTCTTGGACCTTAATTATAAGACAAAGCAGATCATAAAAAATAAGGCATACTTGTCAGGAATTAAGTTTTGTTTGCTTATTTTTGGCACATTTGATCATACTGTCTTCTATGAATAACACATATGGTCAAATATACCAACCATTTCCTTTTTTATTTCAGCACAAACAGGGTTTACCAACTAGTAAAATAAAAACAAGGAAAAACTCCAACATAAAACACTGAGATATAGACCTTGGTAAAGTACCGAGCACCTGGGGAGCAGGGGGCGAAAGGGGAGGGGAGAGGGATGAAACAGGAGAGAGAAGGGAAGGTTTGGGAGGGTGCTTGGGGAGGTAAAGTGAGATGCAAAATAAGAGCATCTTTACAGTCACTTAGTCTTTTCTATGATCATCTCTTAAGTCTTACAAGATCTGCATGTGGATTTCTTTTAAAACCCACTGACTATAAATCAGACAATGGTTTCAAAATCTTGGTAAGATTGTGTTTAACTGTTATAGTGTAAAGACAACTGCACAACTGTGCTTCTTGATCCAGTAGGATTCCAAGCAGAATCTGAAGTCTATAGGTAAGAAAGGCTTCATTTTAGGTAACTTAGACCCTAAAGAAAACCTCATGAGAGAACTCGCATCTCAAAGAAAGGACACTTAGCCTAAGTTTGCTGTGTTTTTGTTGACCTGCACTACTTATTGCTGGCTACTATAAAACACTGATCTAGGAGTACTCCAACAACCTGTAGTACAAGGATTAACTTTAAGAAGCTATAGTAAACAAGAGACAAAATCAAAGCAATTCTCTTTCCTAACTAGTAACAGCACAGATAATGCAGTCTTTTCCATATCACAGTTAAAGTACAGTGAACAAAACAGCTCAACAAACCTTAAGACAAAAAAGTGCAGGTTATTAATGTTTACATGCAGTTGAATAAGCATTCCAAATGTCACATTATGCACTGTAAAAGCTCAACTTTACTATGTGGAAATAAGAAAATGCACCTTGGGGAAAGGGGAAAAGCAATTTAACTATTTCCAGTGATTTTGTAAGTAAAGAAATTCCTAACTATTGTACGGTCACTTCATATTTAACATTGTATGAATAGTAAAAGCAAACTATGGGAACTATAATGGGAAAATGCACAGTACAATGGAAATAGCTTGTTATTCAACACATACAGTAGATCTCAAAAACAAAGACAACACACTCAACCAGGGAGCTTAAAAATATCAAATCAAAACCAAAGAACCAGCAGAAAAAAAAAATCCTTCAAAAAGACAACTGTTTCACCTTCCTAGGCCAATGCTTTACAATATGAGAAGCACTGACACCTTCCAGCTCCTACAGGTGATGTCTCCTACATACAGCAGTTAGATCTATATGTCTGAATTTGCCAAGAAACAATTCTATCCGCAGAACTCTCTATGTCAGACAAGGTCCTTTTTAAAAAAACAAACACAAAATACTTTCTACAGAATTCCAAACCAAAATGTACTGTTTAAGGCATCTTTTTTTATAACATTTTCTCTTCACTCAAAGATGATAGTCATGCAGCAGTTTAATGATAAAAATATATTAATATTTTACTATACAGCAGCAAGGAGTTAGTTGTCAATTAAAAGCACACAAACATTTTTAAATGAAAACCTGTAAAAGACTATCGTTACTAACAATTTCAGTTTGGAGGACACCAGCTTGGTAAAGTGCTCTCCTAAGCTTTTCATTTTCATACGCTACACCTTGAATATATGAATGATAGAACATACTTTTGATAGGCTTGTACACTTGGGGAACACAAATACACTTAGCATATAATGTAGCCAGTAATAACTAGCACCACAGCTACATGGAAATCCTTTACGTACACCAACTTAACTTAGCTTTCTCTTTTAAAAGGAAACTCAGAATCCATGGCTCAGTAGGATAACTATAATTGTGTTGCTCTGCTTTTTAACAGGTCTACATAAGTTAATAGCACTGGCAAAAACCAAAGGATAGCTTCAGACCTCTTACAAGTTTAGGAGACAGTGCTAGTGACCACAAATAGACTCACTACCTGATGTCCAAGTACAGGTTCACTGGAAATTGCTGCACGTTAGTTTTTAAAATCTTTCTACACATAATGAAAAAAATATATTATGAACAATACAAGTACATCTCATATACACAATGACAAAATGACTACTCAGTCAAAGCAAACAGATGCAGAAAAATATTATGGGAGATTTCCTTTTTCTCTCTTTCTCTATTTCCTTTTGCTATTTGAATAACTTTGGTTCCAACCATAAAAATCACAACTTAGCAAATTTCATTTAAATGCCTTTTTTAATAATTTCTTCATGTTCACAGAAGTTTCACTGACCATTTTTATGTTTAAGGTCCAGATGCAATGCATATTGTATAAAAGAGAGCACTTATTGTTTATCTTGCATGAATTAAACCTACGTACCTTTAACTCTACAAACTTCTGCATAACATTTAGACAAAGCTCAGACACACAGCATGCCTAGCCCTCATATATATACACATCTCTAATCACAGGTATATAGGGTGTCAAATATACTATAATAACCTCCATGTAAGGTTTGAAATTTGGTAACAAAATGAGAAAAACTAAAAATATTATTTTACGTGTTCTAAAATATCTCTTTTTTGTGCTAAAGTCAAATGTTAGCTCAACATGAAAAGGACTTTTATATAATTCAGCAATATTATAATCTTGACCATTTTGCAAACACTTTTAATAATAATAGCTTAAACGTGTACAAAAGTTCTTGGTTAATTAGGGAAATAAACACTCAGTTCTTTATATTTTTTAATCAAGTAGGAAACACAGTTCATATAATGTTATTACTTTTTGTATTTTTTTTTGTTTTAGCAGCTGCTTACTGTTTTATATGGTGGATAAAGTGGACAACATCCAGCGATGGGTGGCAAGTCAAGAAGAGAAACTGTCAGTTGGTGGAGGTTCTGTGGGTGGTGCTCCCTTGGAGTTAAGTTTTTTTTTTTTTTACTTTTTATTTTCTCTCTTTCTTTACAGTATATTTTCTGTGTGTGTAGTTGTGTGTGAGTATGTATGTGTGTGTATGCATGTGTGTGGGGTTTTTTTTCCATTCAGTTTGATCAATCTTCTTCCCCTTCTTCCTCACCCTGCAGTAGCAGGGTGGCAGCGGTGGTTTCCTCCTGCTGCTGCTGTTGCTGCTGGTGGAGTTGCTCACAGGCAGCTCGCTTCTCCCTCTGCTTCTCTTGAATCTTCTTCATCTCCTCCGAGTATTTGCAGAAGGTGTGTCCGAACTTGGCCCACACCTTGTAGGGCACGGTGATGGAGTTGCGGTAGGTGGGTTTCACCTCGCTCACTCGCATAAACACACCGTACTTGTTGGAGCCCACATCGAAGAAGAAGCGCTTGTTGTCCACAGTCAAGGAGGTGCCTCGGGCAGCTCTGCCGGCTCCTCCTCCACTCCGTAGTCGTCGATGAGCTTGGCCAGAGCGTCGCGGAACTCGATGAGCCCTTGTGCGGGCAGCGCAATGGTCTGGCCCTGCGTGGAACCCAGGCCGGGCCCCCGATTGACCGTCTGGCGGATGCGCAGGAAGCGGCCGCGCTGGTTCTCCTTGAGATCCATGTAGTACTTGCGGTTCTCGCGCACCAGGAACTCACTCTTGAGCGCCCGGCGCGGCTCGTCCTGCGCCTGGGCCAGGTCGGGCGGCTGGCTGGGGCCCAGCTGCGCGTAGTGCTCGATGAAGTCGCCCAGGTAGTCACGGAACTCCACGGCCACTGACATGGAGAGAGTGAGGCGACTCTTGTTGCCGCCCGCGCCCACCTCAGCGATCTTCAGGAAGCGGGCCTTGGCGTTCTGCTTCACGTCCAGGTAGAAGCGCTTGTTTTGGATGTCCACCCGCTTGGAGGCCAAGCTCCTGCGTCTCATGCTGCAACCCCCCCGGGCCCCGCCGCCGCCACTGCCGCCGCCGCCCCCGCCGCCACCACCGCCCCGCCGGAGCCCGAGCCTGAGCCCGGGTGCCCCAGGGAGCCGCCCGAGCCCAAGCGCCGCACCACCCTGC